AGAGTGCTGGCTGAGGCGGCCCTGCTTGGCCCGAGCTCACTCTCCGTGTCCCTCCAGTTCCCTGACATCGTGGAGTTCTGTGAGACCATGGCCAACGCCGGCAAGACCGTGATCGTGGCCGCGCTGGACGGGACTTTCCAGAGGAAGGTGCGGTCTCGGGTGGGACGAGGAGGGAGAGGGCCTCAGCGGGCACAGGGCACAGAGCAGGTCTGCCCAGCCGGGGTGCTATCTGCTGCCGCAGACACCTGCGTGGGCAGAGGGTCCGCGGGGTGTGGCACTCGGGGGAAGTGAGGTCCGGGCGAACGTCCCTGGCCCCAGTGCTGCGGGTCAAAGGGTGGAGCCTCGACGCGCACCTGGCAGGTGGCTGAGCACTTCCCGTCCCGCGTGTCGCAGGCGTTTGGTGCCATCCTGAACCTGGTGCCCCTGGCCGAGAGCGTGGTGAAGCTGACCGCTGTGTGCATGGAGTGCTTCCGGGAAGCCGCCTACACCAAGAGGCTGGGCCTGGAGAAGGAGGTAGCGCCCGCCCTCTGCTGCGGGGCGGGGAGGGCGTGGGACCGCCCCCTCCCTGTCCCAGCCCCTCCTCTCATGCCTCTCTGGTCCCTGCTGCCAGGTCGAGGTGATCGGAGGAGCAGACAAGTACCACTCCGTGTGTCGCCTCTGCTACTTCAAGAAGTCCTCCGTGCAGCCTGCAGGGCAGGACAACAAGGAGAACTGCCCCGCACTGGGGAGGGCTGGGGAAGCTGCCGCTGTCCGGAAGCTCTTTGCCCCGCAGCAGGTCCTGCACTGCAGCCCCACCAACTGAGGCCCAGGACCTGCCCCCGGCCCTGCTGCTGCCCCTGCACGCTGTGTGGCCTTCTGAGGAGCCTGGGGAGGGCAGGAGGGTCTGCCTGTGGGGCTTGCCATGTGACAGGAGTCCTTCCTGTGCCTGGTCTGCTGTCACATCTTCCCTCCCTGGGGCCTTTCTCGGTTCTCCCGGCTGCTGGGAAGGTCTGCCCTGGGCTGGAGCCGGCGTGTCTGGTGGTTTGGGGTCTGGCTGCTGCAGCTGAGGGCAGAGTGGCATGCTGTTGTGACATGGGTGCTGCGGGCTGGGTTCCTCCTTGGTGCCGTCACCGCGGGTTTCTGTTCTCCTTGGAAAGTGTGCACCACACTTCCGCCCATCCCCGCAAAGCCCGGGGCTGCTCCTGAGGACCACCTGCTGACCACTGCTGCACTTTGGGCTGAAAGCCCTTCCTATGTTTTGCAGAATGACATCATCTTTCACATGGGTGGCAAGAGCCAGCTGGGGCTCAGACCCCAGGGGCTTGTTTCGTAGAGAGGGAGGGAGGGGGCCATGCATTTTTTCACCATAGTGTAAATAAATACCATTAAGACCCACTAGTTGGGGGCTGGGTGTGGCTCAGTGGTGGAGTGCACAAGGCCCTGATGCTTTACCCAGCGCAGCCAAAAAAAAGTCACCAGTGGCTGAAGTCATCTCCGGCCTGGGCCCCCAGGGTTATGGAGACAGCTGTCACATGACAGGGAGGGGAGTCCCCAACGGTCTGTACTGCTTACCTCTGACCGTGGAGTGTGTCCTAATCCTGTGCCTGCTTGGCTGGCTGGCCGGTTTCAGGACAAAAATGGGTGAAGGAGCCTGGGTCCCAGATTGGAGAAGCGTGATGTGCTGGGGCTGAGAGGCCAGGTTTTATTTGTAAGACATGACACTTGATAGTTCAGGAGCCAAGAAGATGGCTCAGCTGCCCTGGAGAGCAGGCTGTGGGTGGCTCCTTTGGAGGCCAGGGTCCACTGGAGCTGGAATGTTCTTGTAGGTCTGGGCCACACACCTCTTCCCAAGTCCCTAGTGTCAGGGGACTTTGCTTTGCCCCACCCATGAGGGTGCTCATGATACTTGTGGCTCAAACCCTGTTAGTGGGGCCCTGTTGGTTTGTGCTTGAGATTTTGAAACTCTCAGGGCCCATTTCTGACTTCTGTTAACAGCCCAAAAAGGGAAGCCAGGCGTTGTGTGTCTCCTGCCAGAGATGGGCCTGCTCCCTCCCCAGGGGAGTCCAGAGGCTCAGCCCTCACCTGTGGGAAAGTGGAGGCCCTAGTCCATCACCCTTCTGGGGCAGCCCTCACTATGGAGTAGGGGAGGAAAGGGGCAGCTCCCAGGTAACCCCCAGCACTGGCAAGGCAGTCCAGAAAAACCTGTCTTGTTTACAAGCTGAGCACAGGTGCTATTTTGGGTGCTGGGGAGGCAGTGTGCAGAGGGGGGGTGTGTCGCTAGGCATGCAGGAGTCACTGCCAGGCCTCACTCAAAATGCAAGCCCAGGAGCCCAGGCCCCCAGGGCAGGTGCCACACTGGGATTCTTCCCAAGGCTGAGATCCAACCAAGGACAGTAGAAACTGAAAGAAAAACATTTATTCCATCTCCAATCCAGACTCACAACCTCAGGGCAAGGGCATCTTCTCCCAAGGCTTTTTTAGTACATTCGAATATTGTGGGGTGCCCCTGCCCTCCCCATACTCTTAAACCGAAGTTGCAGGATATTTACATAAAGCTGGGTGTTATCAGGCAAAGTCCCTCCCTGCTGCCCTGGTAGGGGCCAGCAGGAAGTGCTACCAGTCATGCCTGGGGTGGCAGCAGCCCCACCCCACGGCTGTCAGGGAGGGAGCCAGCCCAGAGGTTGGCACAGTGGTGACCCCGAGGGTTCAGCAGTGAGCTTGGCCCAGCCTGAGGCCAGGCAAGGGACCAGAGTGGCAGACCTGAGTGAGGAGGCAGGGAGCCTGAGCCAGCACCAAACACAGATATAAGGACTCCCAACCCGTCTTTGGCAGAAAACCCAAATAACTGGCTACTACAGCCCTGGGCTGGGCTGGGCTCCTTCAGGATGGGGGGATGCTGGGCCCTTATCAACAGGGCACATCATCCACACCTTCCTGCTTCTGGCGACTCCAGCAGGGTTAGCAAGTCATTAAAAGCATTGAGGGCTGGGGTATAGCTCAGTGGTCGGGCACTTGTCTAGCAAGAGCAAGGCCCTGGGTTCAAGCCCCAGCATCGCCAAAAAAAAAAATAAGCAATGAGAAAACATCTAACTAAAAACCCTGTCCTAAAAAATGCCCGTGGGGTGCGTGGCTGCAAAGCCCTTTGGGCACAGGCACTTGGGTGCTCTGCCAGCACAGGCAGGCATGGGAAGGCCGGCCCTCTGGTCATCAGCGGCAGCAGGTATGGGCCAGAGGAGGAACCACAGCTCCAGGAGGCAGCCCGCAGGAAAAGTCCAGGGCAGGGGGAGGCCCCGGGCGCCCTCCCTGCGGCCACTCAGTACACGGCCGGCGGCTGGTAGCCCTCAGTGGTCTCTGCACTCTGAGTGAAGGGAGGCTGCTGGTAGTTATCCACTGATGCGCTGGGGTAGGAGGCATAGGCCGTGTTGGGGTCTGGGGTGGGGTCCACATAGTTCTGGATGAAGGCGTCCACTCCGGCCTTGTAGCGCTGGTAGGCCAGGGAAGCCAGTGCGCCCTGCAGGGAGACCTGAGGTTTAGGCAGGACAGGGGGCCCTGATCCCCCTCAGTCTTCACTGAGGACCAAGACCCGCCCGCTGCCCAGCTACCTACCCAGGAGAAGATGGAGAAGAAGCTGAAGGTGATGGCTGCCCGAGCCGAGTCCGCCCCCACCAACACATCCTCCGGCTTGGTGGCTGCCCACTGGTTGGTCAGGAAGCAGAAACCAACAAACCACAGGAAGGTCCAGAGAGCTAGGGAAGGGACCGGAGGGTGAGCTCCAGGGAGTGGCAGGGGCTTTCCAGGGAGCTGGGAGGGGGAGGCCGAGGCAGGAATCTCCCAAAGCTTCAGGGCCTGTGAGCCCAGGAGCTGGGGCAGGGCTAAGAGGACCGAGGGCTGGTGCCCGAGTCCCGCCTTGGACCCCACCACCCACAGGATTCAGCAGTCAGGAAGCCTTCTGTGCAGGTCAGGGGTCACAGGACACAGGCAAAGCCTGCTTGCTCAGGGGGGGTTAGGTGCCCTGAGCTACTCTTTCCCTCCCCAGTCTCTCTCTTTGGTGCTGGGGATTGAACCCTGGGGTGCTCTACCACTGAGCTGTCTCCAGTCCTTTTATTTTGAGATAAGATTTTGCTAAATTGAAGCTCACGGCCTCAAACTTGCCACCCTGCCTCATCCCCTCGTCGCTGGGATTCCAGGCAGAGGCCACTGTGCCCAGTCCTCCCAAGTCCCTTAATCCTAAAGCCCTAGGACCACGGTGTCTCACTCCTACAGATGGATACCTGAGAAGAGCAGGTCGCCAATGACCAGGTACTTGCGGTCAGTGGCGTTGCTGATCTGGGGAAAATAGACATCAACCACGAAGAAGAAGGCGGAGGCCAGGAAGGCCAGCACACCGACGGCGCAGCCGTAGCGGCAGGCGTCCTCGTTGTGATTGAACACACAGTACAGCTGGGGGGACTCGGGGGTGTTGCTGTAGCCCTCGCCGAAGATGCAGGAGAACACGATCAAGGCGAAGACCTAGGAGAGAAAGAGGCCATCCGGTGGGTGGCCCCGAATGAGCCCCTCTGGGGGCACAGCCAGTGGGGACCCCTTCTGAGACCCAGAGAACCGAGACCCAGGCAGGGTGTGTGAACACATGCCTCTCCCACTACAGCTGACCCCTGAGGCTAGCATCCCCAGCCCTGCCCAGGGACTCCTGGACTGGGGAACACCTGTGCCCAGCCCAGCTGCCTGCCTACAGGGTCATCTCAAACAGTCTGAAATGAAGCTGAAGGGCAATCCACCCACCCCGCTGTGAATGAGTCTTAAACAAAACTTCCACAGAGTCATAACCCCTCCCCTCATCATCTTGTACCCCCACTGGGCCAACTTGCCTGGGCTCCCCACCTCTGGAAAGCCACGCCAGAATGCCTGGGGATCCCACCTCCCTAAGCCCCCCTCCAGCAGTAGCCCTGGCCCCTCTAACTCTTCCCTGGTCCAGACTCAACTCCCTAGTGGGCCAGCGTCTCCCTACAAGGACTTCTGGTCTTGGCCTTTCAGCATTCTGGTCCCTCCCCTCCCAGGGCCCTCTGGTCTCCCACCCCAAAGTGTGCCCTGCCTGCACCAGGTGCTCCAGGTGGTGTGACCCACAGGCCTGGGACACAGCCCTGTGCTCTGGAGAAATTGGGCAGCATGGGGAAGGACCAGCTGGATCTGCCAGACGGACTCCAGTCCAGTGGGAATAGCCCACATCACCCCATCTCCTTCTCAATCTTCAATGCCACTGCCCATGCCCACCCCACCTCAGGACAATGTGGGTCAGTCAGTGGGCACCTGGCTCCCTGAGACCCCTATGGCCCAGCCCTGGCCTGCCCAGCCCTGCAGGTCCTCTCAGGGAGCTCTTAATAGGCGTCTGGGGCTAGACGTCACAGCCCTATCCCAGCTGGAGACGGAGGCGGATCTCCGGGTGCTGGGAGCAGAGTGCCCACAGGCCTCCTGGCACTGCCATCCCGACCCGCAGAGCATCTGCCCCTTGGGCACTTCCCAGCGCAGCACCACTCAGACCTCACAGTCAGGCGGGGGCCCCCCCACCTTCGGGTTCCATAGGCGAGGACCCCCCCCTTAACTACAGGGCCTGCCCGGCCCACGGGGAGGGCGCACATTTGAGTCCCCGGGTCTTGGGGAGGGCAGCGGACTCGGGCCGGCTCCTGGGTGGGGAGGAAACTGTTTCGGGGCACCAGGCAGCCCCCTCCCTGCCCCCATGTGGCTCCAGAAAGTCCCCTCCGGTGAACTCCCAAGCTGGGAGTCGCGCGCGCGGCCACCTGTTCTGGAGCTGCCCCAAGACCCTCCCACTGCCAGCAGGGCGACAGGCCTGCTCCCCGCGGCGCCTCCCCGGCACCGCGCCGCGGCAACGGGGGCAAGGGGTGCGGGGACGGCGGGCCCGGGACCCCAGGGGACGGCGGGCGGGGGCCTGGAGGGCACGGCTGGCCCCTGGACGCCAGCCCCGCGCGCGCCGCAGGCCCGGGACGCCGGGCGCCGCCACCTGTCGCGCTCCCGGGCGGGGGTCGCGGGACGCCCGCCCGCTCCCGCTCACCATGCTCAGGGCGCGCACCACCACCTGCGGCTGCGCCAGGAAGCGCCGCAGGTCGAAGGAGCCGCCCGCCTTGGCCGCGCCGTAGGCCCCGCTCTCCATGTCGCCGCCGCCGCCGCGCCGCGGAACGCCAGGAACCAGCCGGGTCCCGCCCCGCCCGGCCGAGGGGCGTGGCCGCGCCGCCGGGGACCGAGGGCAAAGTGCCGCCCCGGCGAGCGGCGGCGGCAGGTGGCGGCGCGCGGGTCGGCCGAGGAGTGCAGCGCGACCGTGCGTCCCCGGGGGTCGGAGGCGACGCAGTGCCGAGGAAGAGGGCCCGCCCCCGGCCTCCCGGGCCCTCCTCCAGGACGCCCGCCGGACGCTGCTGGCCCCGCCCCGCGCCCTCCCCCCCCCCCGCGCCGCACCCGGCCCGGCCGCAGCGCGGGGACAGCGCGCGCCGCCGCGTGCGGGGTGGGGTCGGTGCCCAGCCGCGCGACCGAATAAAAGCAAAAAGCAGCCACAGCCCGGGACCCCTCCCCGTCGCTCCTCCTCCTCGGGTCGAGACCCCCTCTTCCTCACCCTTCCCGGGCTGGGCCGAGGGGCCGCGCGCTTCCAGGTCCCTAGGAGGTGTGCAGACAGCCC